CCAAATGGATTGCCAATGTGATGATGATTAAAACGAAAAAAGGAAAATATAGGATGTGTGTGAACTTTACGGACCTGAATAAACCATGCCCAAAAAATTCATTTTCGTTGCCACACATCGACCAACTCATCAACGTAACAATAGGACACGAGGTGTCAAGTTTTTTGGATGCCTACTCAGGTTAAAGAGGCATCTGGGTACAAAAAAATAAAAGGAGAGAAATAATGAATGAAACTGTGAAAAAAAAATTATAAGGAAAAAAAAACGAAAAGCGCCATAATAGGACTCTTGAATCAGTTGGATGCATGCAGTTGGCACTTTGAACTCGAAGAATATTTCGTATTTGAAAATATTATAGTTCAAGATAGTATTTGAAAATATTATAGTTCAAGAATAATCTTTGAATCTTCAAATATTAATAGTGTCATCCTTTTTTAATTGAGTTTAAATTTTACTAACAATGGCTATGACTTTTTTACCCTAATAGGTTAAGTTGGACATGCAATAACAAATAATCTCCCGTAGTAAATCTGATAGGGTAAGAGGAATAACATATCATGATCAATAAAATTCCATGGATCATATAAAAAAATTTATGTTAATTTCAATATATATATATATATATATATATATAAACTTAAATCTTTTAAGATTTATTTACTAGTACTAATATTTAGAAGGAAGAAATGAATGCAAATTCACAACCACCAGCAAACTGACATATCACCAATTGATATAACATGTCGCCCTCAGTCCTTAAATTCATTGCTTGCCAAAAATCAGAGATACCAAACTATCAACAAAATAAGGTGCATATTCACCAGCCAACAATGTAAGGGATAATAGTCTCTTGAGGATTTCCTAATCGTGACGGAGCTAGAAATTTATATGAATTTAAAAAAATAATATGATGTTACACTTATAATTTGAGCAAATCAATTTTTAAACTTCTTTTATCACTACACTAAAAAAATCTTAATGTCAAGGGATTTAATAATTTATACATCACAAAAGAATTGTTTTTTTTCTTTACTGATTAGTATCATTTTTCGAAGAAAGGAATTTAATTAAATACCCCTGCCTAGTTCCGCGTTCCGCCCCTCTTCTTGAAGTAGACAAGATATATTCTTCCTCTCAAACTTGGATATATATTCTAATACATAACTTAGATGAGGATACATAAAAATATAATTCAATACAAAAAGGATTTAAACGTATAAATTGATAATCTAAAACTTTTATTATTTTAACTTATTATTACGGGTCATTTATAAATTTTAAAATATTATTAACTAATACGTACCATTAATATTTATCTCTATTATCTTATAAGATCCAAATATTGAGATGATTCTAAAATTTAAATTTTATGGGTTAAAATTATAGGTTATAATTACCTTACTAGTTTATTTTACATTGATTCATTATATTCTTAAAGTTATAGATTTATATTTATTATTCATTATAATTTAGAATTTTATACATACATTTATGCGCTTCACTTCGAAAATATTACATGGACCCGATACCATAAGATTGGATTTGTTTAGTATATTCTAAAATAATTGGAACACAATTCGGCATGATTAATAGGTTAGTTTTACTAATTAAGACGCAGCAAATGCAGGTAAATGTTTTATTTCATCTGCTCTAAATGCCATTAATTTTACTTGGCATTATAGGATGGCAGGCATTTCAGCCAGAGGCGGATGGAGCTTTTAGGTATAAGGTTCATCTGAATTTAATATTTTAATATTACTATAAATTTATGTATAATTTTATTAAAATTACAGTAAATAGTAAATATAAAGTTGGCCCGTAAGCTTAAAAATATATATAATGAGTTTACCACTTGCGCGCACTCACAATATCGCACGCGCAGATCTGACCCGCAAGAAAAAGTTACTGCTATCGGACTTGTTTCTATATTGTAATAAATTAAGTCCTTTTCATTATAATTTTAGGCTAGTTTTATTTCATTTTCACTCAGTATGCTTCTACAGCTTTATTAGAGCAAGTCTTGTAACTTTAGTTTATTTTTTTTTAAGTATTATTAGGGGATCAAGCAATCAAACAATTTTCAAGCAATTATTTTCTGTACTAATGTCTCTTTCCCTCAACACAGCATCTTTTGTATTCAGCCTTCATTCATCAATAAAATCATCATCATTCAAAACCTAATTCTCTCTTAGCTTTCGTAATTACTTTTGATATCGATTTTTCTGTACGACATTGACAATCTAATCTAACGTGCGAAAGAAATTTTATTAACAGACAGTAACCACACTGACATCAACTGTTTAATCTTAGGTTGCCCTTTCAAATAACATCAAAAAGGCATCATAATTTTAAAAATTAAATTTATAAAGATTAAATTCTGAAGCACTCTCCTGTCGCAGCTCGGATAACTATCTCATGATAATTTTTGTGATCATATAATAAGGTGCGCATTAATGACAAGTAATATATATGCAGTGAGATACACGTGTAGCCTCCATATGATTATTCGTGGCAACCAGATGGAGACTGCAATATTACTGCATTTGCATATTTACCAAGAGGATAGGAAAATTTATGTGAGTCATGTATATGCCCTAGGTCTTCGAAAAGGAATTAACTGATATACTTTTACAATGTAATTAATTTTTATATTATTCGTATATATATTTTAAATGGTCATAGCAGGATATTTATTATATACTATTAAGGGTTGTGGTGCGATATAACTATACCACTATTAATTAAAAGTTTTAGTTCGAGTCTCGAGAATAAAAAAAATCTTTGATAGGAAACGGCTTTTACTTTAGTTGGCCTTATAGGATCTGAATCCAAATTAATCAGGACTCTAATACGAATTTTAAATATCGAGTGAAAAACATAAAAGGGATCGTTTGGTACGAGGGATAAGTAAAAATAATACTAGGATAAAAATTTAATATCACCTTAATACCTTATTTGGTTACCAAACTTGGGATAAATTATCCCAGAATTATAATTAGTATCGAGATAACTTATATCTTGTAGGAGGGGAGATAGTTAGTGTTGGGATAAAAATAGTGATGGAATAAAAATTATACAATGCATATTATTTTTGATACAATATACCAAATAGTGAATAAAAAATAATTATAGCATAATTTATCCTAATGTAATTTATTCCAACATAACCTGTATTCAAATCAAACAAGCTCAAAGAGGTTATTTACTATATTTATAGGTTAACGAATTAGAATTATAATAGACGATTACATGTTATAATAGATTATTTTAACCTAATAGTGTAAAAATATTATGCAGTATTAACTATTAACATGCTGAAGTTAAACTCTTCAGAAGAATTTGGCTATAACTGTGTATGCCAAGCCTGCTATAATTTTGAACATGTACTACTTGGCTCTTCAATTAATATTTCTGACACTATCAATGCACATACATGCAATATTAATGTTTTAACATGTACATATATTCAATTACATTTTATATTATATAAAAGATAGTAGTAATGACTAGGATGTGTAAATCAATGCATTGTTTTGGCCCATACATCCCAGCTACTTCCTCCCGTTTAAAATAAATAATTATTTGAATGTTATCATACATATTATGAAATTCATCTTTTTACATTAATTAGCAATAAAATTGACCATATTAATTTTTACTATTTTACATAAATATTTCTAATACATAATCCAACATTATTTACTCCAAGAATAATATAAAAAAATAATTAATTTATTCTTAAAATTTTAAAAAATTATTTATTTAAGATCACAAAAAAATTAAAAATCAAAAAATTACGTATTTTGGACCGAAGAAAGTAACTTGTAAAACAAATGAATGAAAGTTAGTTGAGACTCAAAAAAAAAAGAGAAAGTAAATACATGGTGTAAATATAGCATGACAGAAGTCATTTTTTAGAAAATGTTTCTGAGAAATGACTTATTATTTGAAAAATATTTTTTTGATCTTTTGGTATTTAGTTGGAGAGTAAAATAAAATTTATTATAAATTGATAATAATATTAGTAATTTTTTTATGTGACACCCAATTAATATTTGCTCCAACCATTGAATTTTTATTCATTTTTTTTAAAGTTAATTGATACCCAATTTTTGAATAACTTTAGATATATACATTTTTCTCTTCTCTTTAGTGTTGTTTTCTTCTTCTTTATACTTAGTGATTTTTCTTCTTATTATTAGTTGCAAAATGATTTTGTTTAATTTTTCTGGTTTTTTTTATAATTTGATGATTGAGATTTATTTTTTATGATATTTGAAAGTTATATTTCGAATATGAGCTCATTTTGAATAAATTTAGGCATTAAATTGTATATTAGGTTGTTGGAATTCAAATAACAAATTTATGTTTCCGAACTTAAGATTCGAAATATGAACTTGCATCTAATAGATTGAACTACTTAACATTTAAATTTCTAAATTAAGTTGCATTTGAAAGGTAAAGAACTTCAGATTTGATCCCTGAAATTGTATTGAAGAGATTGAACTACTTCGAATTTGAACTCCTTAAGTTGCATTTTAAAGATAAAATAACTTAAGATCTGATTTCTAAAGTTGCGCTAAATAGATTGAACTCCTTCAGATCCGAACAGGTACACTTTGCAAAATTTTATACAATATATATATAACTTAAATCATTTTTCCTATTTTGTTGAAAAATATTTTACCTTACAATATTTCTGACAACCAAAGATAAAATGACTTATTTTTCGAAAAATATTTTTAAGGATGACTTCTTTTGTTTAAAGAATCAATTAAAACAGAAGTCATGGTATAATAACAACAATAAATTTAATATAATCTTATTAGTAAAGTTTCTAGGAACGTAATGTGTACACAAGCAATATTATCTCTACCTTGAGAATGTAAACAAGAGCCATGATATTGCATTGAATACCATTTAATGTTTGCCATCCCTTCTCCACCATGACACCAATCCGTTTCTACCTATAAAAGGCTAATGAAGGAAACTGGTCATATATGTTAAGGTAGAAAAAGAAAAAGAAAAAGAAAAAGAAAAGGGTGCTTAAAAAAAGAGAGAGGCTTAGCTAAATATATGCAAAAGAAATATGACTAAGTTGTCCAATATGGTTTTTGTTTTTCTTGGTTTATTAATAGTTGTTTGTACCACAAAAGCAAGAGAAGTGCCTAGTGAGAAAGGTCTTACTGATCAGAAAAATTTTGTAGGATTTGGTGGTGTTGGAGGATTTAGTGGTATTGGAAGCAATGGGCTGCCTGTTGGTGGAGTTGGTGGTGGGGTAGGTGGAGTTGGTGGTGCTAGTGGACTTGGTGGGGTAGGGG